GCGTTGCTAGGCCCCAACTTAACTCTCCTTGTCACCACACATCATCACTGATTTGGAACCAAGACTTGTACTCTAAATATACTACGCCAGTTAAACAGAGGTATTCTGGAATATCTGCTTTGTCAAAAGGAGAGAGTGGGAGGAAAAAAGGAACTATAGTTCTACTTTTAAATGCAAGGAATTTAAAACTATAAATGGTACACAACAATGTCGATGTACTTAATATTACTGAACTGTACACATGGTTAAAATGGTACTTAATATTACTGAACTGTACACATGGTTAAAATGGTAAATTTTATGCTACGTATATTTTACCAACTTAAAAGAAAAAAACTGTTAGTGGGTTCTGAAAACTGGGTCCATGGGTTTCAGAAGTTTTTCACGACTGTCTAACAAACTTCCAGGTCCAATATATAATTGGTTATATCTCTGCCATAGTGACCAGGTTGCTCTTTCTGCAACAAAACTCCTATTAAACCAGTTTGCTTGGGGCCTAAACAAGCATCTATTCATCAGGAGTTAGTACACAACAGGTGCCCACATACATCTCTAGCTAAAAGTATCACTGGAAAACTTCGAAAGAATGATGTAAGGGTGTTTGTTAGACAAGGCTCCTGTGGAAACATCGCTGGCTCCCAGATTGTGCGTCCCTGTAAGGAGCTGGGAAATGCGGAAATCCCAACTCCTACTCAGGATTGGCTTGGCCCCAGTCCTGTATAGTTGCCACATGGGGCAAACAAAAGCTGGTCAGAGGGAGTTACCAGGCCTCCGGGGCCCACTGACTGTCGACCCCAACCACTTTCTAGAGGGTCCAACACCATTCCAAAAAGCTGAGGCTGGCTGCAGTTACAAGATGTATCTTCACTCTCCTGCCTCTAGTTCAGAGTGAGCCTGCAAGGAAGGTTAGCGCAGGCTGCTGCTCAGAGAGAAGGCACCGTGGCTCAGAAGCTGCAAGAGGGCTGTGCCTATCTGCCGTCTGGGGAGGAGTACTTCTGCAGAACTGAAAATCTCCTAACGTGAGAGAGATATTTGAACTAGGGAAGATATTTGAATTAGGGAGGAGTACTTCTGCAGACTGAGAATCTCTTAACGTGAGAGAGTTATTTGAACTAGGCTACAGTTGTCATCATCATTCTGTTTCCAATGCACCCAGGAGAAACCTCTATTTCAGCACACGCACTGAAATCATACGTGGGTATTCTCTTACTCTCTCTGATTGTAATGTGAGCGGCCCTGTGGTCTCCCTGTGCGCAAAGTCAGAGCCTAACGCGATGCCCGGCGCTTGGAAGGCGCTCCGCAAGTAAGCGAGGAACTCAACTGTGAAGCCACAACCGAGACAGCGCAGGCAGAAGCGCCTCTCCAATGCTCGGTGTCTAAAAACAAACCCCTGCAGGTGCTGTCACTCTGAGAAGTGTCCATTGTCCGCAGGCGCCCCACCCAGACCTCTGCATACCCTTGAACTACCTACCAGCAATGGCGACCAGCAGATCGACAGCACGCACATGATCCCCAAGAGCTGGATGGCAGTCTCAGTCGTGATCCGGCCCCACTGGGCGCTGGACTGAGACGCCGTGGCCTTGGCCCGGCAACGGGATACCAGGGCCTTAATAGTGGCCAGGTTGCAGGCGAAGGTGATGGTCAGAGCTGAGAGTCCCAGAAAGGCAAAGGTGGAGGCGAAGAAAAGGTTGCCCCACTTGTGCGAAGAGCTAGTCCCATTGCCCCCTCCCCCGGTGCTAATGAAGCACCACGTCCCGGGCCACTGGACGGTGTACTGGCCCACGTCCAGCACCGGCAACAGGGCGAAGGCCAGCACCGCCAGCCACACCCCGAGCAGCACGGAGCGGGTGGCGCGCGTCTTCATGTGGCTCGCGTACCAGTGCGGCGCCCGGATGGCCAGCGCCCGCTCGACGGCCATGGCGCTGGCGATGAAGAGCGAGGAGAGCCCAAAGACAGTCATGGTCAGACCAAAGAAAGTGCACAACCTCCCGGACGGGTCGAGGTGCTCCCAGCGCTGCTTGGACAGGTACACGACGATGACCACGGGGCTGGTGAGCAGCTGCCCAACCAGGTCGGTGAGGGCGAGCCAGCCGATGCACAGCAGGAACGACTTCTTGCGCTTGCTCTCGCGGCGCCGGTAGCTCCGCGACACCAGCAGCATGGCCAGCGCGTTGCCCACGAAGCCGGTGATCAGCATGGTGATCGGGAAGACTACGGACACCGAGCGGCAATCCTCGCCGGTCTCCGAGGGGCGCGTGAGGTTGCCGCGCGCCTCGGCGGAGTGCTCCGGCGCCCACATTCCCGGGTAGGAGTGGTTAAGGCGGGTGCAGAAAGGGGCGCTCCTGTCGCCCCGGGTCTCCTTCATGTTGGCTTCGAGGTGAGGAAAGGACGGCACTCGGAGAGCTGCAGCGGGAGCGGGTAGACGGGGCGCGGGAGGCGGTGGAGGTCCGGGGCGACCGGGGCTGGGGCTGAGGCTGGCGCTGGGGCGGGGCTGCCTTCCATGGTGCGGGCGCACCCGCCGCCTCACTTTGCTACATCTGCAGCCGCGGCGCCTGGGCTCTTGGCCCTCGCGGGCAGCCGCACCGTCGGCTCCGGGAAGCGCAGGCTCCCGGGCGCGCCGCGGTGCCTGTCCCCCTCTATAAGGCCGAAGGGGCGGGGCGCCCTGAGTGTGGGCGTGAGTGCCGTGGGGGGAGGAGGGAGAAACCGCAGAGCGCGCCTCTTGGCTGCGGTGTGACCGCGGCCCTGGCTGCCTGGGTTGGGAGAAACCCAGGAAGGCTCCTCTCGAAATGTCCCAGCTCCTGGCCGGACGGGACACCCAGCCAGGACGCCCTCCCCGGCTCCGCGCTTCCTCCTGTCTCTGTCAGAGGAGCGACCAAGAGCGGCGGAAGCTAAAATGCCTCGCTGGGCTTCCCGGCCTCAGGCAAGTTGCCAAGGTGGACCTGAGCGTCTGCCCTCCTCCTCCTCTACCCACGGACTTTTATCCGGGGACTAGATGCGCCCCCTGAAGGCGTTTTGTAACCTTGGCAAGTGAAACTCACCTGTCCCAAAGTAATCTAGGCAAGTCACATTCCTTCGCTTAGCTGAGTGTGAACTTTTTTCCCTGTCTACTTCGGGACTCTAAAATGATCCCGAGCAGGCCCGGCTGCTCTGTTCCCGGGGGTGGGGTGGCGGGGGCGCACTGAACCCATAAAACTAATAGTGCCTCGAAACTTCAGGAAATAGTGCCTCGAAACTACAGGGAAACAAAACACGATCTGCTGGGCGAAGTCAAAGATGAAGATATCCAAGTACCATTTCCCACCTAAATTCCCTCTTCCCTTTAAAGGAACAAGTCCGCAAAAGTGGCGAGAGGCAGGTGGCAGACATTTGTGTATCTGATATAGTGAAGTCAACTGCTGCCAGCCTGTGGGAAATGGAATGAAAGGGGGAGGGCAGGAGAGAGGAATGCTGTTTCTTACAAAGCTTCCAACCATTCTCCACCCCTTGCCCATTCTCATACAATTAGGGTCACAAATTGTATTTAGATGTTAGGAAGACCTTCATATTTAGTGAAAATAGGCATAATTGCCTACTAACAACTTTTATTAAGGCAATATTATGTGTTTTCACAAGTGTTTTCCCATTTTGTCAGAGATCCTCCAAGGTCCCTTTTCTATTATTATTACTCCTCTTTTATGGTGAGGTAACTGAGACTACATCGTTAAAGGACATGTCTAAGGTCTCCAGTCTCTGTCTTTTTATTAGAAGCACAGTGTTTCTCACATGGATACCATCACCACTCTCAGCAGTTGAAAATCAATGGTAAGACCAGTTCTTGTCAAATCTAGGGAGGGCCTGTTTTGGGGGTCTCTTCAGATTGTCCAGGGAATGAAAAGATTTTTAAAATTATTTACAAACTTTATTTTTCCTCTTATTTAAGAGATTAGACCTAATCATATAGTACTACGAAGACCATTATTCAGACTTCAGATTGACTTTTGGAACAACCCATGGCACTTTCTTTGGCTTTTGTAGTTGAGTGTAAATGAGTTGTGGCAGATGAGAATGAAATATGTTCTCCTGCATTCTTTCTGTGCTATTTTGATTTTATATGAGAGTTTGAAAAACAATCATTATAGGGTTACATAGTTTTTAAAGGAGAAAAATAAAAAATGTAATTTAAACTCCACTTTAACAACATGCATTAATCACATTACTAATTTGTTTTGCTGTCATTTAAAATTTTTTTGCAATTTGAATTTTATTTTTTAAATGTCATGTTTTTAATGAGAGCAATAGCTAGGCAGGAATAGTGAAGTGCTTTTTAAATGTTCCTCAAACTTTTGTCTAATAGTTGGATGAAATTAATCTCGATCCCAAAATTGAGAGTGTTCTTCTAAAATATCATTTAAAAAGTAAAATAATATTTTAGGTATTCTTAGACATATGCTTTATCCAAAGCATTTGGATGAAAGTACATATCAAATTTAATTTTTCAGCAATAAAATTCTCATGTAATTATATGTTTTAAAAATTTAAGATCTTTTCATGATTCATTCAGCTAAGAAAAGCTGAGCTCTTTCCAGTTGCATTAAAAATTATTCTCATTTTATTGATAGATAGTTGGCTTCTTTAAAATTTTATTTTCTCCATTACAATGGATGCTGTAGTCAAGTGAACTTCATAATAGTAACAACCAGGACATGCAGTACCGAAAAATTAAAGTTAGCGTCTTTTACTCATCTCCAACGCACTAAATGTGCTGCATTTCAGATCTTTCGTGTAACACTTTCCCTCTTTCATTTCTTTGCTTCATCCAATTCTAAGTTGTCTGCTTTGTAGCTATTCACACTGCAAACAAGTGATTGGGAGATCTGAGGAGTCACACAATAGGACACTGACAGTTGCATTCTGTTTGGCACTTCTTGGTATTAAAGCAGAATTTGAATTTCTGAATTTTTGTCACTAACACCCTCTAGTGACCAAAAATTTAATAACATGCTGCACACTATGTTAAAGAGAATTTCTAAAAGACATACATGCTTTGCTTAAGGAACCTCTGGTATCTTTCCTAGGGGTCTACTCATTAATATATAACTATTGTTATTTTGTTTTCCTTTGAGTGCACAAACTGGCATGTCTGCTTAATCAATTGACCAGTGGAGGATTAACATTATAGAGTCAGATAAATGAAAGACCACATATTCAAATGTTTTTTAAGATTTTTAAAGTATTCACCAATTATATATTTTAACCAAAATTCTGACCTAGAAATAATTTTAATCTACAAATTGTGCCTCTCCTGTATTTTAAAATTCACAACATATTAATATTGAGCTGGTGTTAATGTATTCTGCTATTTACTTCTACTGAACTCTTTTAAGAAGTCTTACCATAGACATGGATACAAAACAAGATTAATAACTAGTTTCACATAATCAAGCCCTTGATTACTTCGTTATGGATGAAAAGTATTTGCAATTCTTACTCCATGGAGTCAACTGGTAATTTCAGTATATTTTTTAGTCATTCATTTATTCAATAAATATTTATTGAGTATCTACTCTATGTCAGACACTGTACTAGTCGTTAGGGATACAAAAGTCTATACATTTATGGTGTTTATATTTCAGTGTAAAACTCTTGATTTTTTAAAAAATCCGAAATAACGAAAGCAAGAATACTTATCTTAGTGGCTTTTGTAATTTGTCATGGGGGTAGGATCTTATATGAAACTCAATTTTAAAAACTATGTAGTTTTCATGAAAAATTGGAAAAAAAACATAGTTTTTATGATCAAATGGGACTTATCTCAGGAACCCAAGGTAAACTTAACTCAAACATCAATCAATATAATTACCATTTTAACAAAATAAAGATGTTTTAAAGTCTTTGCTAAATCAAACATCTGAGTACAGAGTCCCTTTGTATTGCTTGCCTTTTCTCCAAACTTTTCTTCCTATTTCTTTACATGCCTAGTATTTTTCAATTGAAAACTGGACCTTGTAGTTTATATATTGTGGTGACTGTGGATTCGAGTTTTCTTTTGAGGATTGATTTGAGGAGGCTCTGCTAGGCAGTTAACTGCCAACATTTCTTCTTCATAGCTGTTGCTATATCTGCTCTGTTCTCATGGTTTTCCATGGCTGCCCTTTTAGCCTCGTTACCTGTAAACTGATCTAAGCTGTAGTTACGTTAATTTGTTGGTCAGTGAATGATGGGGACCACCCTCTCTGTGGTTTCATTGATTATAGAGATTCTTCTCTAATTTCCAGCTGCTCTGCCAGCTTTGGGTTGTGCCCTGACATTTAAAGCTTGAAAAGCTTCAACATTCTGCCACCTAAGGTGCACACAGTGGGGAATCAACTAAGAAAAGCGTCAAACAAAGTCATGGATATAGTCTTGAGTAGTTGTACGTTTTAAGACTAGATTCCCATCTAGTCTCTGCTTGCCTTTTCACTAGGCTCCAGGGGGATTCCCACTTATTGCATAGTTTAGCTGTCAAACAGATTTGGGCAGAAATTCTATTTTATTCCTTTTGTGGTTCTCATTGCCTGACTTTTCTGTTTAAATTCACAGTCGCTTTTCCAGCCTTGAACTCCAGTCATTGGCACTTTTTTCTAATAAGGCTGCAATTTTTCCATCAATTCCCACAAACATAGTCAAAAGGTTGAGCATCACCCTCAGTTTAAAATGCCAATATTCTTAATTCTTAACCCTTTCAGTTGCAGTGTTTTGAAATTAATCTTTTTCCCAATTTTGGTATGCTTTTGAATGCTTTCTACAGAATTTAAATAGTTGTTTTTAAATTTTTAACCAGATTTTATAATTGTTATCTGAAGGGCAGTAGGATAATGGCATAAAGACATACAGTTCAATGGAACAGAATACTATAGATAGACATATATATATGCAGATAGATATCTATATCTATATAGATATAGATGGATATACAGATGTAGATACAAAGATATGTATACACACATTCATCTATACATGCAAATTCAATTAATTTTCAGCAAAGGTGTTAAGGCAATTAGTAGAAAAAAGTCTTTTGAACAAATGCTGCTCGAAAAACTGGATACCTCTATACAAATAAAAATGAGAATAAACTTTATCTCATACTACACACAAAATGGACAGACCATTTAATTACAATAAATGTAATTACATTTAATCTTAAAACTATAAATCTTCTAGATTAAAAACAGGAGGAAAATCCATGTGACTTCTTTACCCTCTCATTATGACTTGGAAGTATTTTTGCAACTTGTTTTTGTCTGTTTTTAACATTTAACAACATGCAATTATTTCTTTTGACCAGTATGCATAGAAATTCTTTATTCCTCTTAAATACCAAGAATAATCCAACAAATTCTTTCTGAATGTTTGGATTATTTGTAATTTTTGCTGTAAGAAGAAATGGCACAATAGTATTCTTGTATATATTGTTGTACATTTGTCAGGCTTATTATTACATGATAAATCCTTAAAAGTGGACTGCTGTACACTGATGATCCCAAAATTTGTTTCTGCAGCCTACACTTCTTTGAACTCCAGCCTCATGTATCTAATTGACTATTTGTCATCCATTTGTAAAGTCCATAGTCTAT